GATTGACCGTCTAAAAGGGTTGCACACCGTTTTCAGCCTTCCCCTATTGCCGGATTGGGCACTATTCAACTATTACGACCCCAAAAACCCAAAATTTTATTTTTCGTCGAAACTTCGCCTATAGGGGTAATTCGGTGCCCTGATCACGAGAATGAGGTTCATTTTTGGCGCCAATTGGCGCCGATTTGGCGCCAAGGGGGTTTTCACCAAATTCGCTGTAAACTTGCACATAGAGGTTATTTGGGGTCCTGATCACGAGTATAACATTCATTGGCACTATTCAACTATTACACCCCAAAAACTCAAAATTTTATTTTTCGTCGAAACTTCGCCTATAGGGGTAATTCGGTGCCCTGATTACGAAAATGACATTCATTTTTGGCGCTGGCGCCATTTGGCGCCAGGGTGTTTTCACCAAATTCGCTGTAAACTTGCACATAGGGGTTATTTGGGGTCCTGATCACGAATATAACATTCATTTTTAGCGCCTGTGCGCGCCTGTTTTCCGCTCGTCTGCGCCCTCTCACTGATCACCTCGCGATCGGGACTAAGCCTTTGAGGAGGAGAGTGCTCCGAAGTGAATAACACTTATCCTGTGATCTTATACGCTTTAACGTTTGCCACATGTTGACTGGTTCACCCACCCCGGAGTCCTCCCTCCTTCTAGGCTCAGTCCTAGGTATTATGTACAAGTGAGAGGACCCAGGAGAATGGAAAATGTGCGTTGAACGGTGGAAATGCTAAAAACGAATGACATATCCGTAATCAGGACCCTAAATAACCCCTATGTGCAAGTTTACAGCGAATTTGGTGAAAACACCCTTGGCGCCAAATTGGCGCCAAATGGCGCCAATGGCGCCAGCGCCAAAAATGAACCTCATTTTCGTGATCAGGGCACCGAATTACCCCTATAGGCGAAGTTTCGACGAAAAATAAAATTTTGAGATTTTGGGGTCGTAATAGTTGAATAGTGCCGAGAAACCTTATCTTTCCATGGAAGGCTTTCAGAGCAATTTCAATACTTCTTGGAAACGCGAAATCCAGCTCTATCTAACCCTACCTCAAACTGCTTCAAAGGTTATGAAATGGAGGAATGCAACCTTTTCATCGAGGGTGTAGATTTCGACGTTTTTTTTTTCGGGATTTCAGCAAATCTGACCCAGTGACAATCGCGCCGCAGCTGCCGTTGAATCGGCCTTTGATACACTCGGCTGTTTTGATATACTCAAGCAGGAATCAAGATTGAATCGCAACCCCGTGCCTTCAGGATTTCTGTGCATTTCTGAACGAACCTGACTTTGAGGTCACACAAAGTTAATGCCTCTTTCCTCGAGTCGATATTTCAGTAAATACACAAAAGTGTGCAGCAAGATGAAGGCGTCCATAACATTATTTTGCAGATTTTTTTTTGATTTATTTTGCAGGATTTATTTTGATTAATTAATTGAATTAATTTGCTCTGTTAGAGGGGGTCGTGCCAGGATCTCGATTTCGGGGGGGGGGGTCGTACCTCTGCGACCACGTACTCGACACGATTTTCACCCTGTTCCTTACTACTCATGCTGCAGCCAAGAAGTACCACCAAATGATGTTGAAGGGAGGATGGAACATGGTACCACAACGAACCAGGTGCAAAATGGGAAGCCTGCTAAAAAAAATCTGGACTACGTTTTTTTCGGGGTGTAAATTTAGGCAACAGTAAATAAATGGCAAGCCTACATAAAGTATGCGCTAATAGATGCTCTTGGAACAAAACCACCATAAGATACACAGAACTTCATTGCTGAAACAGGAGACTGATCTTTATTAGGAAGGCTGATATCTACAACCAGAGTCAACCGTGCGTTGCGCAGTTTCGCCCGATTAGACACGTTCTCTCGCGCGAACATTCACACTCGCATGCTCGAGCCGTCTGCGTCTCCGCCCATACAGCGTGCGTTGAGGATCTCTCAACGTGCCGTTGCGAACTGCGCAACGCAGGGTTGACTCTGTCTACAACTGCTTACCAAACAATAAATAAAACGCAATACAGGGACAAAGGCAGTACAACGGACACTACAATACATGCAGAACTAGAACAACAATGGGAAAGTAGACTGCAAAAACGGTCGTAAAACAAACAGATATCTCAACCTTACTCAGAAGAAGTGGATTTGGACACTACCATAAGGATCATTCGTTTATAGTCTGCCACCTTGGAGCTCCAAAGAGCTGAGCAGTGTCTTTAATTCAATATTGCGCCGTTCCAGCAAGTCCCTCTCAATTCGCATCTCTCGAACTTTCTCCGCCCGCTTTTGACGAGAACGTTGTGAGGCGAGGTTGTTTTTATCGCGTCTCAATCTATATTCTCTGGACGCGAGAGCTGTCGAGTTTGATGAAGGCGGTGAATAGCATGGCACGGATGACTGATCAATACCTTAAAAACAACCCTGAGAAAAAGAAAATTCGTGAAACTAATTCAAAAAATTTTATAATGCGCGTAATAAACACATTCTAGATTGGGGTAGCAAACGAGCACCACAAACAATCTGCGATGAAATATTTATATACCCCATATTCCGTGTCTAGGCATAGTATAGGCAGCGCGAAGCATGCGCACAGTCGAAACAGCGACTAGCTCATACTCCTGTGAGACATTAGAATAGTTTTGAAAAGCTGCAAACCGTACTTGCGCAGCTGCCACACGTTTCCAAAACGCCTTCGTTCAAAAATCACAAAAACCAGGCTTGGGAAACATGAGACAACTGCGAATGGATGGTTTTACCTATACCTGGTGAGGAGTTTCGAGATAGATAGTGTACAAAAAGGTGTTCTCACAAAATGCAAAAACTATATTTCGGTAAGCTTCCCTTTGTTTAAAATGGGAGTGCGGTACTTTTGGCTCGTCTGAGGTGGCGCGCGGCGGGATGCGCGGCGATCCGGATGTAACGAGCTTCGCGGGATCTGCAGTGGAATTCAACACGTCAAAGCGCATCTAGTTTGCGGATAAATTCCGCATGTAAAACTTTCCGTGGAGTTTCGAAACAGGGGTGTCGGTGAGATTTCAGCGCAAGGAGATGAAAAAGGATTTTCATGGAAATGTTACTACTAACATCGAAGCGAATAAGAATCACTAAAATAAGTTTTCGTTGATATAGTTATTTAGTGACAACTGCATATGTTTTGCTGATCGAGGTGCTGTCTTTGGCGGGAACATTCAGAACAGGGCCGACGGTAGGTGACACTAGGACTAAGCCCAGGAGGGGGAGGGGGGGGGGGGCAGAGAGAACAAAACCTCCACAGAATCCCTCCCCCTCCCTGAGGCTTAGGTTCAAACCAAACAGTAATTGACTCACAATCCCCCCCCCCACGAATGTAACGTCCCCTCAGCGACATAACGCCCTAATCGCCATAACATCCCTATGCTAGTTCCGTCTTATCTTTTTCTAGAGTTTCCTTACCATTACCGTTATGCTCAAAATCGCCATGTGTTAGAATGTAATTCGAATCGCAGAACCTTGCGGATTTTATCCGCAATCTTACACGCTTTGACGTGTTGAATTCCCGCGAAGCGTCCGGATCGCCGCGCCGCTCGCCGCGCAATTTGCCGCGTGCCAGACCGGACGAGCCAAAAGTCCGTCGCCCTAAGAACGGTCTTTGTAAATTGCGAGAGATTCTACCCCCCTGGGAACTCGGGGGAGAGAAAAGCGCGGACCCGAGCACGTGCTTGTGACGTCACAGCTGTGGCAGGAGCAATGATAAGGAAGGACCCGCATCGCCGACACTTCGTTCGACCAGTAAAGAGGTTGCCAGCATTTTACTAACCTATTCAATCAATAGTGCGCGTAGCGAAATGGCTGTAATGCGTATAGATACCATCTTTGTGCTAGAAAATAAAAATGTTGTAAATGAAGAATTTTTTGTGTTATGTCCCAGTTGTAAATAGTGGTCCGCGATGGAATGAGGAAAGCCAACACTCTCATGTGTAAATCCTTAGAAGTGCATAATCAAGCTAAACTTCATCCCTATGAGCTCGATCTTTGATCTCGATTCCCCTTAAATCACTACTTACTACGCAGTGAAGTTAGGTACAACATATATTAGCAGTACCTAGTGTATTGCAGAATTAGCGGCAACAACGGCTCTTACTTTTTTCCTCGTCGTCAATCTGACGTCAAAATGACGTCACCAACACGCACGCGCCCGCACCGCCGGTGAGCTTCTTAATAAGCCCAGAAACTCCTCCGTTTTCTAGCATGGGGAGCATGGTAAGTCGAGGTGGCCGTTGCGATCAGATATGTATCACCTGAAGCCTCTTCAAAGTTGTCCTCGAACCTTTATTCCGCATCTGCTGAACGACTCTCTGAATACTTATAAAGGTTGTTAGAATACGGAGCAGACCCAAGTTCGGCACAAATAAATATGAGACGCACATGGTGCCTGGATAACTGTGGCGTAGTGGTTACTTTACGAGCCTTGTGTCTTCAAGCGGAACCCAATTTTGCCGTAATTGTTGTTCGAGAAAAAGGAATCGTTTTGAACGATTCAGACATGAATATTTCTGGTCTCTCGTTTGCTTGGCACATCAGACACATTAGGCTGTTGAGTTTGCCAAAAATCCGTAAAAGGTATCCTGAGAACGAATCTCATACTCATTTTGCTTGGGAACATTTCTCGTAGTTTTCAAGAAAACCATTGCGCATAAAGTGAACTCAAGAACTTGCGCTTGTAAGGCAAGCAGCAGGTGTTTTCTCGTCAAACGGATGCAATATACGTGTTTAGGAGCTCAAACTACATCTGTTCAGTACACTTCTAGTGTTATTTAAAAATTTTCATCCCACGTCGAAAAAGTGCACGGTTTTTGGGCGCCAACTCACCAACTTCGCCAAAAGCTCAATCGAAAAATCATTTAGCGCCCTGATCATGGGGACGGGTTAGAAGCTGATGTCGCAAAAGCGATTAGCACCATCCATGCATAGGTTTCTACGGAACTCGGTCTGAGAGAAATGGTAGCGTTTAAAGGAGTCAGCTAAAAATGTGCCAAAAATTCGTGTTCATGAACTTCACCTCTCTAGATGGGATATCAACTGGGATAAACACATCAGCTCACGATTTGTAGTACACCTATGATTACCTCACTTTGCAGATGTGAGGGTCCAAATCCTGATTTGCCTAAGAGCTTGTCTGGAGATACATTTTGATCTCCTAAACACGGAATCACATACGTCCACATTCGCATCGCGTGAGACGCCTAATTCCTGCGCACGCCGTATGCCACAATGCCAAAGTCTGACAGTTCAAAGGGGAGCTCATTTAAAGTCGAACTGCAGATGAGCAGTGGCAGTAGGTTAACGAGAATCTACCAATTGTTATAGTTTTACGAGAAAAAGGAGAGGAAAAAGTGCGAGCGGATGCAGTCCCGACATTAATCCTGTAAATCCCCCCCCCCCTTTAACCACTACGCCATCGCACCACACGTGATGCAAAAACCTTCGCAAACTTGTTTGCAGTGGCATTTAGCAGATACAGAAGACAAATTTGGAATCAGCGTCCGAAAGCGCATGAGGTGGTACTCATCTAATGTAAAACTACCATCCTTCCCTTGTAAGCATAGGCAAGGGGCCACATCTACCACCTTGCCTTCAATGATTTCGTCACAATGCCTCAGTTTCATTATCAATTTATAATTTCAAAACTAACCACTGGAATGGCTACGACGCCGGGAAGACGAATTGGTGCAGGGAACTGCGAATGTTTTGGAAAGATCCGGAAAAAACTCCTCGACTGGATCAGCGTCGGATGATGAGAATCGCTCGTGGGAAGAACAGTAAGCTACACTCTTGAATGACGGTTCTGGAACTGTAAACTCGGTAGTATTTGTGTTGCTGCAGGGTATGCTGTGGAGATATGCGTCCAGGGTACTGATATCACAGTCAAGTGCTGCGTCTATATCATTAAGATCA